CAACAAGTGGGGGCCCCAAAACATCTAAAAAAAAAAAAAAAAAAAAAGAGCTAATGCATATTCTTTATAGGGAAAGGGAAAATCATACATTGGGATTGTACATAAGTGTTTACTGTGTTAAAAGTAAAATATTCTACAGATTAATCTGTTGAAGGGTTATGTCTGACCCCTAAATGAAAATATATGGGTGCTTTAATATGGTACTGTTAAGGAAAATAGTTAAATATTTATAGTCTAAGGCAGTAACAAAGCAGAATAAACATAAATGGTTGTTGGAATGCTGATATATAAGAGGTACATGTGATTATTTGACTAAAGTGTAAGAGTCTTGATTTGTTCTTGAGAACATATATAACAACAAAATAGCAAAGAAAAGCACTTAGTGTTGATCTTTTGAGACTTGTATGTTTTTAACAAAAATATCTATCTAAAAAGGAACAAATCCACTTTGCTGTACAGCAGAAACTAAAACAACATTATAAATCAACTATACTCTAATAAAAATTTTTTAAAAATAAAAATAAAAAGGAGCAAATTGAGTTTATTTTCAACATCTCCTTACAAATACTTGTTTTACACTGAAGGAACTTGTGTCCTCATTTAAATAAATTTTCCTACTGACTCTTGGTTTCTTTTTCTGTTTCTGACTTTCATTTAAAAATACGCAACTGTATTCATAGTTAAGTTTGTAAAATATCAAAGGAAGATCTTGAATGAGGTATTATTATTGAGAGGCATTGTAAAATAGAAACAACACACACTATACATAGAATTTTGCATTCAGAACTGCTTTCAAATACTGATTTATTACTTGACTAAGATGCTTGACCTTGGAAAAATTACTTCTCTAAGCCTTCTGTACTCATATATAAAATTGGGATATAATAATCTACTTTATGAGGTTGTTGTGAGAATGAGATTTTGTATTTCAGTACCCATTTTATAGCAGGGCTTCAATAATAGCTAATGTTAAGTGGAAATATAACTTCTCAGTGAAGGTTGAGTCCATCATGCCCACAAGGGGGCAGTAGTGACCTTCATTTTATAAACTATCAACTGTTGTTTAAAATCACTGTTAATCAGAATATTCACAGCCATTTGGATTTGTTGTGGTTCAGGCCACACTGATTAGAACAAGTGCTTTTTTAATCCAAAAGTTTTTAGAAGCCAATAAAGTTATATGTTCACAGACACGTATTGAATAAAAAGAGCTAGAGTTAAGTCTTTAGTCTAACTACTGAAATTCTCCAGATTCTTATCTGGAATGATAAGCAAAGTTGAAGACATTCAGGATAGAGATTCTTAGTCTTGATTCCCATGGACCTATATCATGCTTGTGTTGCTTTTGGCAAACCTACTCTTCTTTCTCTCTTCTGTATGTTGACAAAGGCAAATTGAAATTGCTAAACCGTCACATAATTAGAGCTGATCTCTCCAGTGTCATCTTACTCATGAAGCAGTTCTACCTAGCTATTCCCCTTTAGGGAATTGACCTATCTGATGCTTAATCAGTTTAGATAAAAGAAAGGGAAAAGTTATAAGACAAATTCAGGTTGTGTTATTGAACTGGGTTAAAGGATTTTCTTTTCCTGAATGGTGGGGCAGCCCTCTTGTTTCCCATCATCCAGTAATATTTTTAAGAATTAACTGAAAAGACCTTAAAAAAAAAAAAAGAATTAACTGAAAGTATCATAGGATTATCATTTCGGTGGATTTTTTTTTTTTTTTTTTTTTTTTTTTACTGCGCCCCACACCATGTGGGATCTTAGTTCCCCGACCAGGGATTGAACCCATGCCTCCTGCAATGGAAGCCCGGAGTCTTAACCACTGGACCGCCAGGGAAGTCCTTGGTGGATATTTTTGATACCAAAATCCAGATTATAAAGTTTGCTTTCAATTTTCCATTTGTGACTTAAAGGTATCAGTCATCAGTGCCACCATCAAACTGCAGTGATTTGGGAAGGCAGACTAATTTAAACATTAATCAGAGCAAAACAAAGTTATGAAGATGAATTTCCTGTTTCTGTAGAATCATAAGATGCACTCCAAAGTTAAATATAAATTGCCTTATATTGGTTCATAAAGGGTACAGGCTTTGGAATCTAATAATTAGGTTCTAATCTGGGCTCTGACATTTACTAGCTGCATGACCCTGGGCAAGTTACTTAATTTTTCTGGATCTCGTTTGCTGAGGTTGCCTAGCCAACCATAGCACACTACCCTAAATCCTGGTCTGAAGAGCTTATTTATTTATATAAGCCACATTCTGAATAGGTAAAAAGTTGTCACTAACAATGCCATTTCCCTTCCAAAAACAACAGCAACCATGCACATTTCACTTTATTTGATGTGGGGGTCTTATATTAAAGAGAATGAAGGAATTAACATTATTTAACAATAAAGTACTTTATTTTCCTAGAATTCCCTGGGATAAGTCTAAAGAGGTAATTTGCATCATCTCTTCAGTTTCAACTGTATATGTCAGAATACTAAACCTAAGTTTTCACGTATGTTCTTCATTTTGCTATTGAGGGGAAGTTGGGTGAGTCATTATGTTTGAATCAAAGGGAGAGCACCCTTAGGTTGGAGTCATTTTATGCTAAGAAGTATATAATGCCTTTCTCATGAAGCATTTCTACCCAGGTATTCTCCTTTAGCTTGGTGGCCTACCTGATGTTTGTCCTAGAACTTTAATTATAACAGCCTTGCTTGTGTGTGTGTCTGTGTGTGTATGTGTGTGTTTTAACTGTGGTAAGATAATAACAGCCTTTTTTTTTATTGTTAGTGACTTACTGTCACATATATTCCAACCTCCATGAGGCATATATCTAAAAATTGCTTATTCCTTGTTTGTTTCATCTGTGAGTTTTATGTCAGCACTTGGTACGATAGTCTGAGTGATAAGAAAAACATGAACTAAGCAGGAAAATTAGGGTATAGGCTATAGCTGAATCTTGCTCTTACTGAAGTCATTAGATAGACACAGGCTCCTTTCTAGAGGTCAAGCACTGTGTTCTACTCAGACCATTTGGTTCCCTGAGTATTTCATGAGAAATTAAAATAAGGATATTATTACTATCTCTACCCTTATCTTCACTCCCACAGTCATCACCCAAAAGCTTTGATTAAGATAGTTTGCAGCTATGTGCATTATACAAGTAATCCACCTTTTTATGGAAATATCTTCTGAAATTTAAATTTATAAACCAGTTAAACTAACTAGATTAATATATCAGAAAAGGACTTTAAGTTTTTTTAAAGTATTTTATAGATAATTGACTTTTTTTAAGCATAGTAGTGGGAGAACTTAAGAGTACATTTAGGGCTTCCCTGGTGGCACAGTGGTTAGGTATCCGCCTGCCAATGCAGGGGACATGGGTTCAAGCCCTGATCCAGGAAGATCCCACATGCCGCCGAGCACCTAAGCCCATGAGCCACAATTACTGAGCCTGCGCTCTAGAGGCCTCGAGCCACAACTACTGAGCCCGCGTGTCACAACTACTGAAGCCTGCACACCTAGAGCCCATGCTCCGCATCAAGAGAAGCCACCACAATGAGAAGCCTGTGCACCGCAACAAAGTGTAACCCCCGTTTGCCACAACTAGAGAAAGCCCGCGTGCAGCAATGAAGACCCAATGCAGCCAAAAATAAAATAAATGAAATTAAGAAAAAAAAAAGAGCACATTTAAAAAGAAAATAGGGCTTCCCTGGTGGCGCAGTGGTTGAGAGTCCGCCTGCCGATGCAGGGGACATGGGTTCGTGCCCTGGTCCATGAAGATCCCACATGCCGCGGAGCGGCTGGGCCCGTGAGCCATGGCCGCTGAGCCTGCGCGTCTGGAGCCTGTGCTCAGCAACGGGAGAGACCACAACAGTGAGAGGCCCGCGTACTGCAAAAAAAAAGAAAAAGAAAAGAAAAGAAGTGTATCAGTCACATTTCAGTCAGGTGACAAAGCTACATATGGTGTAGTTTTATTATATATAATTTTATTATAAATATATCTATTTTATTATACATATATAATAAAATATATATATATAATAAGTATATAATTTATAAGCTTATAAACTTAATTTGTAAACACTTTTTAGTAACAATGGAGTAACTACTATGAGGAGAGGAGAACTCAGGAATAGGCAGTAAGGGGAGCAGCCACTACTTCTGTATGACAAAACTTAATCTCATGCCAGATGACAAGAAATATTTATGGGGTCCAGCTTCAGTATCACAAGATACGGCAAAGAAGGGTGGATTTGCAGCCAAGAAGCAATTAATTCACAACTGGTACAATAAGTATCTCTGAAATTATAGTGAAAGACTTAGGGAAATGAAATTCATGTTATAAAAATTTGATTTATGCAAAACTGTTGAGTAATACTTTCAGTTCATAAAGTTAGGAGTGTCTATTGCCAGATCTAATACACTTCCCTCTTGGAACTTAGCTGTAAGGATATCACACAGATACAAGAGAAAAAGGTTATGAGCAAATTGTTTTTGAAAAGCACATCATGACATAACTAAAGTAGGTAAAGTAGGTAATTGTTTAGCCTTTGACATTCAATATATGAAACTTCAGGTTTTTAACGTTCTTGCACTTGAGGTCAGTCCTAGTCTTCTCACCTCTCTAGCTAATGAATAGAAATAGCATGGTTGAATAAAGTCCAGGAGGGGCCTATTCCCTCAACACTGCTTAGTTTGGGGTGAGGCATGCTTTGTACCCTTACTGCCTGCTGCCAAGGAGAGCTCTGCATAGCCAGCCTAGGGAGTGGGTGGCACTCTTGCTCTGTTAGCTACTGATGCTCAGCATTGGCAATGCCAAGAGAATGATCCAATGAAGGGAATGTAGTGTGGCCCTATACCAAGCATATTACCTTAATCCACTTTAAAGGGAAGACTTTAAACCTTAAAAGAGTTCTAACACCATGATAATTGGTTTTTGTTAAGTTTGTATTAGAGAGCAAGATTAAGCACATTAGAGTGAAAAGCTGAGGTTTTGATTTAATAAGCCATTTTTAGTTCATCTCAATTTATTCTCTCCGCTGGACCTCATTTGCCTTTTTTACCGAAATAGGTGACCCCCATGCCTCCTCAACAGTACACTTCTCAAATTCTACCACCTCAGTGCTGGCCACCCTTGCAGCTCTTGCTGAGGCATCAGCCCCCCTCTGCAACTCACACAGAGCCACAGGTAGGTAAGGGATATCTGCTGGGTGAATCACCATTTCTTCTTTTGCTTTTGAATCTCCAGCAGATTTAATTTACATGAAATGTTAAAGAATTATGGTTAGAGACAGCTAGGATAAAGGGATATAGAGTCATTGAGCATCAGAAAGAAAAATCACTAAGTGATATTATCAGTCAGCTGAATAATATCAGAGAATGACTAAGTTATTCCTTTGTAGTTTTGCAGCTTCAAGTTTGTTTATCCTGACTCCAGTTGCATCAGATTGAAATGTTTAGTCTTAGATTAGCAGAGTTTTGGAAATACTCTATGTTATGCTTTGTCTGATGCTATCATAGAATGATTCAAAATAGCAGCCTAAATATCTTGTATTAAAGCATCAAAATACATGGGACTGCTACCTGGCTCATTGTTATATTCTTTGTACCTCAGGTTGGCTTGCTTTTATTTTCACTGGAGATGTTATTTTGGCATTTCCAGTGGATTTGTGAAGATACATTCTGTATAGTGCTCTTCTTATTTTAAAACAGAAAGGTTGGGGCTTCCCTGGTGGCGCAGTGGTTGAGAATCTGCCTGCTAATGCAGGGAACACGGGTTCGAGCCCTGGTCTGGGAAGATCCCACATGCCACGGAGCAACTGGGCCCGTGAGCCACAACTACTGAGCCTGCGCGTCTGGAGCCTGTGCTCCGCAACAAGAGAGGCCACGAGAGTGAGAGGCCCGCGCACCGCGATGAAGAGTGGCCCCCGCTTGCCACAACTAGAGAAAGCCCTCGCACAGAAACGAAGACCCAACACAGCCATAAATAAATAAATAAAGCAAAACTGTCAACAAGTAAAAAATAAAAACACAATTATAAAAAAAAATAAAAAAATTAAAAAAAATAAAACAGAAAGGTTTCAGGTCACTTAGCCCGAGCTAGTGACCCACAGGGAAAAGGCTTAAGGCTTCATATAGGTAGGGGACAAATAGTCATAGGTAGGGCTAAATAGTCATTTAGGAATCTTTCTGGAAACCTCTGGCAGTCTGCTCCATCATAAATGAAAGCAGATTGTTGATTTCTTTCTGCTGTTGACACTTGGATGCTGAGAACATTCCTCCAATCCTATTTTTCCAACTGACAGCAATCATAAAGATCTCTACTCAGATGTGTATGAGTGAACAGCATGGCAGAGGAAAAAGCAATGTATTAAACTTGTGCTTGTTATTCTTTTGATTTGTTCTTTGATGTTGGGTAAATCATTTAACTTCTCCAGGTCTCAGTCTCCTCAACTCTGACATGATGGTTAGATTAGATTACCTATCAGGGTCCTTTCAGCTATATCATTTAACTGTTCTTTGTTTCTGAGAGGTGTGGATGCTCATTTCCACTGAACTGCCTGAATGTGTCTCATATGGATAGTCCCTACCCCACTTATTGCAAAGTTCTATTTGTGACTCTTTAGATATAGAAGTTTCATAGTGGTAGGAGCTGTTTCCCCTTATAGTTATTGGGGATACTGACTAACCAAACTGAAAATCTTTATTCAACATGATACATGTAAAGCTCTTAGAAAGGTACCTGGCACATAGTGTCATTGCTGTTAATGTTATTATTGATCTGTCAGATGAGAGAAGCCATCTACTATTTTTGTCTATCAGACTTCTTCAGTGTTTTGACTTCTTGACATATTATTTTGTTAATTCACTATTAAATGCCTTTATTTCTTATAGAAATAGATCTCTATAGTTATTTTTCTAAGCTCTCTAAAGTTGTTTAGACTTTCAAGATGCTTTCTGAAAAAGGAGTTCTGAGATCAAATATGTTTGGGAAACTCAGCATATCTTATTTTATATTAGAGAGTCGCAATGCTCATTAGTCTATTAGGGTCTCTGATACTTCCTACAAAATAAACAAACACAAAAATTTAAGCATATTTATTTATTTTATTATTATTTTTTTTGCGGTTTGCGGGCCTCTCACTGTTGTGGCCTCTCCCGTTGCCGAGCACAGGCTCCGCGGCCATGGCTTACAGGCCCAGCCGCTCCGCGACACATGGGATCTTCCCAGACCGGGGCACAAACCCGTGTCCCGTACATAGGCAGGCGGACTCTCAACCACTGCGCCACCAGGGAAGTCCCTGAAGACATTTTAGAAAATACTGTTCTAATGCATTCCCTGTTTTCTTTCTTTTTAAAAAAATTTTTTTTTTTTTTTTCTTGCGTTATGCGGGCCTCTCACTGTTGTGGCCTCTCCCATTTGCGGAGCACAGGCTCCGGACGCGCAGGCTCAGCGGCCATGGCTCACGGGCCCAGCCGCTCCGCGGCATGTGGGATCTTCCCGAAACGGGGCACGAACCCGCGTCTCCTGCATCGGCAGGCGGACTCTCAAGCACTGCGCCACCAGGGAAGCCCTAAAAAAAATTTTTTAATTTATTTTTATTTATTTTATTTTCGGCTGTGTTGGATCTATCATTGCTATGTGCGGGCTTTCTCTAGTTGTGGCGAGCGGGGGCTACTTTTCATTGCGGTGCACGGGCTTCTCATCGCGGTGGCTTCTCGTTGCAGACTATGGGCTCTAGGCTCGTAGGCTTCAGTAGTTGTGGCACACAGGCTCAGTAGTTGTGGTGCACAGGCTTAGTTGTTCCGCAGCATGTGGGATCTTCCCAGGCTTGAGCCCATCTCCCCGGCATTAGCAGGCGGATTCTTAACCACTGCGCCACCAGGGAAGCCCTCCCTGTTTTCTTTTCGCCTCTGACTTAGCATTGTTTACAGGAGCTTGCTTTTGTGAACTGTTGAATCTGACTTTTTTTTTTTTTTCTATCCCTGATATTATCAGTTTTAAGGGGGCTGAAATTACCATACTTCTATTTTTTTTTTTAAAGCTGAAATGTTATGTTTCCTTTTGTCATCTGTAGCTAATTCAGAGGAAATCATAGAAGGAAATTCTGTTGACTCATCAATCCAGCAAGTGGTGGGGAGTGGAGGCCAGAGGGTCATCACCATAGTGACTGATGGAGTCCCTCTGGGTAATATCCAAACTGCAATCCCTACTGGAGGCATTGGCCAGCCATTTATTGTAACTATGCAAGATGGACAGCAAGGTGAGTTATCCCATTTAGACAATTGTTTATTAAAAGATACTTTAGACACTCAACACATCTCTAAAAATGAGGCATTAGGGGGACTTCCCTGGCGGTCCAGTGGTTAAGACTCTGCACTTCCAGTGCAGGGGGCGTGGGTTCGATCCCTGGTTGGGGAACTAAGATCCCACAGGCCACGTGGTATGGCCAAAAAAAAAAAAAAATGAGGCATTAGGGCAAGTAGTGGGAATGGGAGAAAGCCAGATGCCAGATGGGACAAAGAAGCTCTGAAAAAGGAAAAGAAACAGAAGCCAGGCTGGCAAAGGCTATTTCTCCTAATATATATAAAATCTGTGAGTAAAACCAATAATCTGGTAGAAAAAAGAGCAAATAAGAAAATACTGATGGTTCTTAAAAATAGGAAAATACGTTCAACCTACTTCTTTCATGCAAGAGAAATATAAATAAATACTGCAGCAAGATACCATTAAAGCACTATAGGGCTTCCCTGGTGGCGCAGTGCTTGAGAGTCCGCCTGCCGATGAAGGAGACGCGGGTTCGTGCCCCGTTTCGGGAGGATCCCACATGCCGCGGAGCGGCTGGGCCCGTGAGCCATGGCCACTGAGCCTGCGCGTCCGGAGCCTGTGCTCCGCAAATGGGAGAGGCCACAACAGTGAGAGGCCCGCATAACGCAAGAAAAAAAAAAAAAAAAAAAAAAAAAGCACTATATTGTCAAGGGTATGGGGAAACAGGCAGTCTTATAAATCACTGGTGAGAGTGTAAATTACTGCATCCTTTGAAGAGCAAATTGTCAATATATATCAGTATTGAAGATGCATATAACTTTTGGCTAAAAAGTTATTTTTCTATGAATTTATATTCACACACACAGAAATGACATATATACTAAATTATTCATTACAGCATTATTTGTAATCATCAGAGATTACAAAGAACCTAAGTAGAAGTCATTAAGGAACTGGATAAATAAATTATGATACACACCACCCATGCAATGGAATACTATGCAGCTATAAAAAAACAATGAGGAAGATTCTTGTATACAAGTATGGTCTAATCTCCAAAATATATTAAGTGACAAGAGCAAGATGCAGGGGTGTGTAGAGTATGCTACATTTGTATTTTTAAAAAAGGGAAATAAAAAAAGGAAAATATATGTATATTTGCTAATATGTTCATAGACTATCTCTGGAAGAACATTCAGAAATAACATTGATAACATTGGTTCCCTTGTGGCAGGGCACCTGGGTAGCTAGGGATGGATAGGAAGCTTTTCAATGTATATGCTTTTGTAGCTTTTAATCTTTGAACCATGTGAATGTATTACATATTTAAAAAATACATAAGTAAATTTTTTTTGATAAAAGAAAGAAACTAATCATTACAACTTCATTTCTCAGGAATACTGAAGGTTGAAGAAGGAGGGTTGGTATAATTACCTTTTGTGTCATCAAAATTTTGATTTGGCCTAAATAATTATGGGGATTTTATAATTTTCAAATTATTTGAATTGATGGATCCTTGCAGTATGGGAAAAAACAGTAGAAATTAAACCTTTATAATTCGGGCTTTGGTATCATAAGTTCTTGGAGTTTATTTGAAAATATACCACTGATATTTTTGTGGACATGATTATCATTTAAAGTTTTGGGGGGCTCATTGAGTAAGTGAGAGCCTCTGCTTGTAATGGAGTTAAATAAATGAGAACGAAGTTGTTTTAAGGAAAAAAATAAAATTTGAGGCTTTGCCTAGATAAACTACACTACTTTTTTTTAATTTTTAAAAAAAATTTATTTATTTATTTATTTATTTTTTGGCTGCGTTGGGTCTTTGTTGCTGCATGAGGGCTTTCTCTAGTTGCGGCTAGCCGGGAGGCTACTTTTTTTTTTTTTTTGCAGTACGCGGGCCTCTCACTGTTGTGGCCTCTCCCGTTGCGGAGCACAGGCTCCGGATGCGCAGGCTCAGCGGCCATGGCTCACGGGCCTAGCCGCTCCGCGGCATGTGGGATCTTCCCGGATCGGGGCACGAACCCGTGTCCCCTGCATCGGTAGGCGGACTCTCAACCACTGCACCACCAGGGAAGCCCTCTCAGGGACTACTTTTCGTTGCAGTGTGCAGGGTTTCTCATTGAGCCCGGAGCACGGGCTCTAGGTACACGGGCTCAATAGTTGTAGCTCATGGGCTCTAGAGTGCAGGCTCAGTAGTTGTGGTGCACCGGCTTAGTTGCTCCACGGCATTTGGGATCGTTCCTGACCAGGGCTCAGACCCGTGTGCCCTGCCTTGACAGGCGGGTTCTTAACCACTGCGCCACCTGGGAAGTCCACTACACTACTTTTTACAGATGCATTTAACCAGGCCCAAAGAAGGAGAGCTGAAATTTTGTGAATTAATTGTAAGAAATTTTTAATCCCAGACAGAATTTCCATTTCCACTTAGCAGATATCCAAGCTGCTTTCTACTGCTATCAGTTGATGAGTGTTCAAGGAATACAAGCTAATGTTAAAATCAACCAAACCAAATAACTAGGTAAACCTGCTTTAAACAAAAATCATAATGCATCCTAAAACCCAAGTATAATTTTAACTTTTTATTTTGAGATAATCATATATTCATTCATGTATAGTTGTAAGAAATAATACAGAAAGATCCCATATACCTATCACCCAGTTTCCCCCAATGGTAACATTTTTTATAACTCTAGTACAATATTACACACAGGAAATTGACATTGGTACAATCCACCAACCTTACCGAGATTTTTTCCAGTTTTATATGCATTCATTTGTGAGTTTGTGTTCTATGCAATTTAATGCATCAGCACCACCAAAGTTGAGATACAAAACAGTTCCATCACCGAGATTCCTTGTGCTACTCTGTATTCCTTGCGTTATAGCCACTTCCCTTCCCACCTCATTCCTAACCACTGGCAACCATTAACTAACTCATCTGCTCTCTATCTTTATACTTTTGTCATTTCAAGAATGTTATATAAATGGAATCATACAGTATATAGCCTTTTGAGATTGGCTTTTTTCTCTCAGCATAATTTTCTTAAGGTCTATCCAAGTTGATGTTTGTATCAATAGTTCATTTCTTTTTATTGCTGAGTAGTATTCCATGGTATGGATGTACCATCGTTTGTTTAACCATTTACCTACTTAATCTGTCTCCAGGTTTTGGCTATATCTGAGTAAAGCTGTTATGATCAATCGTGTACAGGTTGTATGGGAATATAAGTTTTCAATTTTCTGGGGTAAATGTCCAAAAGTAAAATTTCTGGGTCATATGGTAAATGCATGTTTACTTTTGTAAAACACTGCCAAACTATTTTCTACAGTGACTGTACCATTTTACATTTCCACCAGCAATTTATGAATAATCCAGTTTCCCACATTCTTGCCAGAGTTTGGTGTTATCACTATTTTTTTTTTTAATTTTAGCCATTTGGATAGGTGTGTAGTGCATCATGTGTGTTGTGTGCATATGTGTGTTGACCCTTTTCTCACTTACCTATGAGAAGAGAAATAGTTAAATTAGACACAGCTAATGGCAAACTGCTTTCATGAAAGGTTTCTCAAAACTCTTATTTAAGATATCAGACCTACTTTAGATAAGTTATTCCTGCAGAATTGTAAGCTAAGTGGTCACAGCTTCTCATCTACAGTCAGACATTTCTATATAAAAGCCTCAGAGTTGGGTCTTAACTGCATGGCTTCCAAACCTGCAAATCTTCACCCTTCCTTTCTGAGGTCTTCTTAGTGCCTCTAATCTTTTTGGTTTCTCTCTGTAAAGCCATGCCTTGCCTGTTGATTCTAAAATCCAAAGAGATATGAACAGTGAGATATCAGAGAATATATTTCAGTTTAGATGATTTTTTTTTTTTTGGCTGCGTTGGGTCTTCATTGCTGTGCGCAGGCTTTCTGTAGTTGCGGTGAGCGGGGGTTACTCTTCGTTGCGGTGCACAGGTTTCTCACCGCGGTGGCTTCTCTTGTTGCAGAGCACGGGCTCTAGGTGGACAGGCTTCAGTAGTTGTGGCTCACAGGCTCTAGAGCGCAGGCTCAGTAGTTGTGGAGCACGGGCTTAGTTGCTCCACGGCATGTGGGATCTTCCGGGACCGGGGCTTGAACCCATGTCCCCTGCATTGGCAGGTGGATTCTTAAGCACTGCGCCACCAGGGAAGCCCTATATTTTAGTTTATTGTCTGATTCAAAGTAAGCAAAGTCTCTTTGTTTTACTATGTATTCATCACCTCCAATTGGTGTCCTTTGGCTTATAGTTTTAACTGTACCTGCTGGTCAGGTTGCAGAGGAGACTGTCATTGAAGAAGAGGCAGAAGAAGCAGAGAAATTGCCACTGACTAAGAAACCAAGGATAGAACAGATGACAGACAGTGTGGAGGAAAGCAAGGTAATGTTTTTAGCAGTGGTGGAGAGAAGAGAAGGTAAAGATTCAAAAGCCAGAACTTTCAAGGCCCATACCCTTCTTTTTTGTCTACTCTCAGGAATTCTTACCTGTGGCGGTTTACTTTTACAGGAAGGCACTGAAAGAGAGCTACTTCAGCAGCAACTCCAGGAGGCTAATCGAAGAGCCCAGGAATACCGACACCAGCTCCTAAAGAAAGAGCAGGAGGCAGAACAGTACCGCCTCAAGCTAGAGGCCATGGCCCGACAACAGCCCAATGGAGTTGATTTCACCATGGTTGAAGAGGTGGCTGAGGTAGATGCTGTAGTAGTTACAGAGGGGGAGATGGAAGAGAGAGAGACAGAAGTGACTGGGGCAGTAGGGACCACAGAGCCTCATACTGGAGTTTCCATGGAAACTGTTTCAACTTAATGTGCAAGGGCCACAGCTTGTGCTGTGTCCATCTTTTTCCTCTTTTTAAAAGAAAACACAAAGAACAACCATTGTATAAAAATTAAGAATGTCCTAAAGAAGAAAACTATAGCAGGGTACAGAGTTTGGGCTCAGGAAGGCTCTCTATGCAACTGGAAAATTCAAAGCCAAATTTAGGGAACAAGTCTTCTGAGGGACCAAAAGAATAAGGACCAAATTTCTCAGCTCACATCATTGCTTGAAGCATAGAGGTAAAAGAATGCTGGATGTTGCAGATTGATTGTTTTTTAAATAACTGACTTTCTATCAAAAGATTTTAAAATAATATTCCTAATATGGACACAACCAGAGCCTTTAATATTATAGTTGTACCATCAAGTGACCTGAAACTGCCTTAGATTTATGATGTGTACCTGTTAGAGGAGAAACCTAATTGTAAGGAGGGATTCGATGCAAGTTTTGGGGAAGAGAAAGAAATATATTCCACTTCCGAAGGAGCAGGCAGGCACTCCCCACTATCCTGAGTTAATTTCACTGAAAAGAAATGTGTGATTGCCTGACTAAATTTGCATCCATTGTGTGTCCATAGCTCAGATGCCAGTTTAAGAAACTGAAATAGAATTTTTAAAAACTGGAAAGGAGAGAAGTGTATATAAATCCAAAATCCTCCAGGCTGTGCCTCTACAATGCTGGAAAGTGGCCAGAAAGAGGCTCGTGGGGTTAGGAAACAATCTGGTCCTGAGATACCAACTTTGCTCTGGCTGGATTTTATGAAATCGCAATCAGGAGGGTAGTCTGTTGTCAGAACAACTTGCTTCCAACCATTTATTTATGTAATATCAAGGTTTAATGTCAACTTTTTAATTTTATAAAACTTTGTTGAGTTTTCTAAGTGTGCCTTTCTGTGGAACTTACATGGTATCCTCTCATATGCAAGAAAAGACAGGGGGAGAGATGAATGCTGAGGATGTTGTATAACTTTCTCCATCTGATTTGGGTTGAGTAAATTGCTCTATTTCCTTAAGGTCGGGCCTTGTGCAGAGCTTTTGTGCCTTATAGTTGCTCAGTGTGTGCTGGCAAAGGGAGTGAGAACTACCAGTGCCGTAATGTAAGGAACCAAAGATTCTGACCAGATGCTTCGTCACCTGACTCTCTTCTCTCCCACTATGCCTGCTCCCTTTGCCTATATACTTTTGAAAGTGTTTCATTGCTGGGATTTCTTGGAGTTTTTTAAAAAAAAAGAATACGGATGGAGAGAGAGGGGTTATGGAGAGGTCATCATCCTGGACTTGCTTGCTTGCTTTGTTGTAAATTAAAAGCAACCAGAGGGAGCTGTGCCAAGTAAACATTTGAATGATTGTTTAGAATATGGTTTTCTTAATTAGCAATCATGGGGAAAACATACATTTTTAATTTGGAATAAAATGTGACAGTTAACATGGTTCTGTTTACCTTGATTAGTGAAGTAATTTGCTGCAGTTTTCTAGAGGTGCAGAATCATTTGGGGCTTAAAATAGACTGAAAACATAACTCCCCAAACCAAATTTAACAAACAGAATTGGCTATTAGAGGTTTATAGACAAAAATATCCGTTTTGAAATTAATCTTGGCTACGGGCCACCGTAGCTAGGTTTTCTCCATGGACCAAGTACCAAGCACTTCCCAGATGATCAGAGATTAGTCTGCACTGTTGGGGAGGATGGAGAAATGCAGTGGAGCAGCCTAGGTAAGGGAGAGGGTAAAATTGTGGTATCTGCTGTCAAGTCATCCTATTTCTGTTTGCAATATTTTTCCTTTTTCTGAGTCCCTTTGTGAATCAGGTGCTAACAATAAGCTGCTATTGTGTGCCATTTCAAAGCTTTAGCTTAACTATAGAGGGACCAAGTGTTATTTTAGATGTGTTTTGTGTGTGTTTTTGGTGCATACATTGACTTTAATTCCTTCTTTTATTCTTTGCTGTTCAGGGAGTGGAGGTTAACTGTGTAGAAAATATGCAGAGGCCCAACCACCTCACTCTCTGAGGTAGCTTCTTATTGAGGGCGGGGAGTTTCCATCCAACACTCTCTTCTGAGCATACAGAGTACCTACTGTTTGGGGGAACTGTTTAGAGTTTCTTATTATTCTGTTTTTGTAAGAGCCTATCATTCCCACCCAGTAAAATATCTAATACAGCCCAAGTTATTTTTGATGATGGGCTCTCTGAGATAGGGAGTTAAAGGGGGGGTTGGGATAGGGAGAGAAAGAAGGGAAATGTCTAGAAAGGGGTGGGTAGCAAAAGGGCATTTGTTTTTATTTACTTGGAATAGACCTTTTAGCATCCCAGAGAAGGGAAATAGGGCTTGATCTCTAATTGTATTGCCATAGAGAGAATGGTAGGTCAGGATCCCTTGAAGTAGTTAGATTAAATATTAAAGACACGAATGGCAGTACCATTGTATGATTTTGCATATTTTTCTGTATCAGCCATGGAAGTTGGAAAAATGTTCCTAGATCTTCTGGGTTTGGGGATTCCAACTGGCTTATTGGTAAGGTTGGATTACAGAGAATCAAACAGACAAGTGGTTCAGAGATCGTACTTGAGCAGGAGAAACCTGAAGCCTAGGATGATTGCCTACCTTAAAATAAAGCTGCTTTAATAATATCAGTATTAATATAGGAATATTAGACCCTACATTTACGTTTTGGTTTTAAGCTTTCCCTTAAAAAGGAGAAAGAAATAAATCTTAATATTTCTGTTCTTGTTCCTGGCTTCAGGGAATTTACTTACAAATGTATAAATGTACATTCCCTTCCTATCACTACCTCTGTGGGATCCCTTAATTGTAATGCTAGAGTTGAGGTCTCTTAATTGAAATATGGGAGAACTTGGCTTTAGGTTTTCTGTATATTGAACTCAGCACCTTAAAAGATGTTCTTTTTCTCTGTCAGATCTGTGTTTCATAATTTTTGCCTTTGCCTCTCCCCCTTTTTCAGCCTTAGCACTGCATTATTAAAATGTTTGTGTCTGCTCAGTAATATTAGAAATCTGTGGCATGCAAAATGACTTTCTTTATATTGCTGTAAAAGAAATGAATTTAACAGAGGGCTCTCCAGTTGAAGTTAGGTATTTTGTGACCAGGGCATTTTTAACACCCCTTTGCTGCACGTATATATTGCGTACATTTATAAACACATATGAATTTTCCCACTTTTCTCTTTGTTTATTTGAGGTTCAACTCTAAAGTACCTGGTAAAAGCTGGAAATACTTTTATTTCATTAAAAACATTAGAGAGGGTTTCCTTCAATTGAGTAAAGGCACTGAGAAAGAAAAAGCATTACTTTGGCCCTCTTTCTGAGGCATATGCTCAACCGGCAGCAATGAGAAACCTGAGGAGTGAGGCCCTAGGGAGAGCTAGTACCTAGCTTTGCAGAGATTTCTCTAGCATACAGTGTGATGACATTGGTAAACTGAAAGATTCAGAGCAGGGTCAGGGGTAGAGATGGAGCTGCCTTTCCACAGAGCAAACCTCCTTTCAGCTCCTATGGTAGCTGTTTTGACTGGCATTTGTATAATTTCTTACACCTCTGAAAAGGAAAGAAGCCCTAGATAAAGTTCCATGGCAGAAGGAGCAGACATTCTATACATCTGCTTCCCAGTTTAGGCATCTCAGCCTTTTAAGGAATGATCATTTTGAGAAAGCTTCTGTGGCTCTTTCCTAACAAACAACATTATGGACCCCCAGAGCTAGAAGACATGAAGCATGTAGTGAACTATTCCCAGAAGTTTAATATTGAGTGGGAATCGGTTTTTGTCCAGATTTGTTGGAGAATGGCCTCCTGTTCTCTACTTGTTATATAGACATCTCTATATGGCCAGAAAAGGAGCTTTAGAATGGAATACATATTAAGACTGCCTATGTGCTGCTCTAGGCTCTTATCTATTTCCACTTTATGTGATATTTTCCCCTTCTGAGTTAGTACTCTATTTCCTATGCCAATATATATAACAAGAGACCAGGAGCAGAAAGGATGTAAATTCGAATTAAGTAGCTTGGAACCTCTGGTGCTGCCTTTTTTTTTTTTTTTTTTTTAAGCCTCTCTTAAGATTAAGAGGTGGGGTGATATCCCTAGACTCCAGACTACTACACAGCAATTTGGCTTGTTAATGGCAGGAAATTGTGATTCCCTGTCTCTCTCCTCCCCTTTCCCCTCTAACTACTTCTGCTTCTGTGACCGCATTGTTCTTATCTCACTGAGTCTTCCCCAGGCACTAGAATTTAATTAATAGGTCATTTCTAATCTATGCGCCTTGTCTTTCCTCCTTCTGTCCCCTCCTTCCCTACCACATATTTTCCGTTTATTCTTAAGTGGTTTGTTTCTGAGAATTAATCTAGGTCATACCCTATATCCTGTGCTTCCTAGTTGGTCTCAGGCATCTTGCTCTATCAACAGTAATGATAGCAGCAGCTCCCTTCTCTGGCTTTGCCCTGTGTACTGTCCTTCTGCCAAGGCCATTTGTGTTGGGGGGGGAGCAGAGAAAGGGTAGGTGGGGTGCCTAGCTTCTTCTCAAAACATCTTCAGTTTTTCGGGTTGTCTGACAGCTTTATGTACAGTATGTTTTAAGAAAACTTAAGTATAATTCTCTTTTTTATTTAGGATTTTAATTAAATAGGGTTTGATTCTGGTGAGCAAGTTTGTGTGTGTGTGTTTGTGAGCATTTGTGTGTATGTACACCTATACAGATCTATATTATATATACAATTTTTGTACTATCATTTAAAATAAAAAAATGTTTCTTACTAAAATGTCAAAGTCTTACCATTTCAGGTGTCATTGAAAATTTTTTTCCATCTCCTGGGCAAAAATTGTATCTACTGCCTGGTCACAGATAATCCTTAAGAGCAAGTTTTCCCCATCCTACTGAGCTAATGAGGGTGGAGCAGTGGGAGGGTGGTTTTTTTGGGGGGAGCATCTTCTTTCCCCTCTTTGGTGCCTCTTCTGACCCATTCACACTTTCTACCTTTTCCTTATCTAGCTACTCCTCAGCTGGTATTCTTAAGAGGCAGAGCAAGTTGAGGTAAGAACTGAAGTGAGAATGGAGAGAACTTTTGACTGGTTTATTAATTTACATCTTCTTTCCTTCCTTTATCCCCCACTCCCTTCCCTAAAAGCAAACAACCAAGAGAGGAGAATAGTAGCTGAAATAAATGATTCTGTGCCTTGTGTGGGAGTTAAGTCAATGCCAAGATAAGGGGCGGGGTACGGGAAGAACATCAGGCCCAGGCAGGCTTGGAAATAGTGCATTTGCTCTGCTGGCTTCTAAGCTACTCTTAGTTAATAAGGTGCTTGTTGTTATCTCAGTCTAATTCAGCACATATTTATTAAGTAAATATGCGTAGTGGTCTAGTTGTGGCACAATCCCTGTTGATAGCCAGGGTTGAACGGACCCACTTGGCTGGCTACTTGGGTGTTCCCGTCTAGTGTATAGTGTTCTCAAAAGCTGCTCCATCGGCAACAAAGATGCCTTTCTCAGATAAAGGAGGGTAGGGCTTCCCTGGTGGATC